GAGAGAGAGAGAGGAGGCTACACATTTCAGCTTAATGATTTTTTTTTTCTGTTGTGTTTGTTGCACATTTTGATGACAGGTAGAGCGCTCTCATATAAAGCACTGTGGCTTTCTCACTCAAATGCAGATGCAGAGAGAGTTTTCTCCATGGTGGGTTTGAACAAAACTAGGAACATTTTGACCCTGGATGGAACACTAATATCTATCATGATGGTGCTTTATGTGGAAGCCCTCTACCTGTCATCAGGCATCAAAATGTGTAACAAACACTAACAGTACAACAGAAAAAAATAAAACCATAAGCTGAAATGTGTACTCTCTCTCTCTCTCTCTCACACACACACACACACACACACAGCTTGACATACATCCGCAGGTGCAATCCTACTGTATGTGTACAGTATGTACAATGAGTACTGCTGTTCAGTTGACTCGTTTGGGGAAAAATTTCTTTTTCTTTCTGATACATTTGTATTTTTGAAATGCATAAATCTATTTAATTTATTTGGATGAATTTATCTGTCTTTTATCAGATTTACCAGTTGTTATAATTTCTATTGTGCTGGTCAATTATGAACAATTGGTGGAATTGAACTGCTAGCAAAAACCTGAGATTTGGGTGCTGCAAATATTTGAGTGGCTCCTTCTCTAACAGATGTAATCTCACTCCAAACTTTTGCTATAATTTGAGAGCCCTGTACACACACTCTCACACGCGCACACACACACACACACACACACACACACTCACACTCACACGCGCACACACACACGCGTACGTGTGTTTTTATCATGGTGGGTCTTTCCAGTGACTTCTATATGCTTTTACACTGAGCTGATGATATTTGCTATCCCAAAATTCCTTGCACAAATCCTGTGCAGCTTTACTTTCTCATTAAGACGTCTAGAATTAAACGCAACTCTCAAACACTCAGTCATTAATCTGCATCTTCATGTATGAATGTATTCTCTGGTGTCTGATGGTGCGTTCAGCTCAAATCCTCCATTAAATCCCCTGGAAAAGCAGCCTGAGGAGGTCCGCTGGTCTCAGTTTGTTGGTTTTGAAGGAGTTTTGGGTAGCTAAACCAGCATAAACCAACAAAGCTGGTTAAGCTGTTTTTATAAGAGTGATTCTGAACCCAAGCATCCCTCGTTTGTTCTCTGAGGAGAATAAAGACTCGAGTGTGTAATTGAATTCAGTGGCGGACAAAAGATTTTCCCTTTTGTTTCCTCTCTGGATTCACAATCTCAATTCACGATCAGCCAATAGCAATAGGCATTATTACAGCGGACACGCCCTCGTGCCACAGCAGCCAATTACAATCGCTGTTATTACGGGTGACAAGACATTCGTTCCAATTACAATTACCAGAGCAGAGACAGAACGAGCGAGGAACGTAAGTGAAATCGATCGCATCTCCGCGCCGCTATCTGCAACTGCCAATTACAGGATCTGTATTGAACCATTCTTCACTTTTATTCAATCTCTGTGTGTGTGTGTGTGAGTGTGTGTGTGTGTGTGTGTGTGTGAGAGACGGGGAGAGAATG